GTAGTCGTCGTCGTCGTCGTCTTCGCCGTCGCGGTGGTGGCTGTAGTGTTAATGGTAGCGGTCGCGGTCGTGGTCGTGGTCTTTGTGGTGGTGGTGGTTGGGATTGGTTAGGGATCGAGACTTCGGTGTTAGGTGTAAGCTTTAGAAGGACTTTAAAGGGCTAAAGAGCCGTACCGCTGTGATCCTGTAGTGGCACCACTACTTTAACTCAATGTATTTATACTAGAATTCCACCCCGGCCAACCCTATTTGATGAATTCATTAAGACCCCTATATCATGCATTCAGACGTTGGAGACGCTCCTGACTTCGATCCGAGGAGATGACCTGAACAAGATCCTTCGCATGATCCTCGCGCCGTGACAAAAGACATGCCCCTTGTAGGGTCTTAGGCTTATACTGTATGTGTTAGGGTTTATTAGGGGTCAGGGTTTGGGGTGGTTTAGGCATCCTTGAACGTTGACAGTGAGGTAGGTGTTCCAGGATGATTTTCGGTTCTAGAGGGTCTACAGCTGACGTTTCGAGGCTGCGTGTGAGAGAGAGAGAGAGAGGGGGAGAGCAAGGGGTTGGGGGTTGCGGCTTTACAGTTTCGGGTCAGGGTTAGTGAGTAGCGTTTCGGGAGAGGCTTCGGATTTAGGGGTTAAATGTATAATTATAGCTTTCGCCCGCGCTTGTGCATTCAAACTTTAACCCCTCAGCTTGAATGCCGACTCCACAATCTCAAGCCGCTTTTGGCCGAGAGGGTGGAGGGTATCATCCGTATGTTAAACGCATCGGGGCAGCGGCCAGCGAACAATGGTGGCATCGGGTCTGTTCGGATACTGGGAAGACATAAGCCCTAAACCCTAATCCGGGACTGGCCCAGGAGAAGAACGGGATCAAAACGATGCAGCGAATCGAATCGCGCGAACAACAGCAGGCCTCTCGGCGTTTCGAACATCGGACTCCTTTCAGAGATGACATGACCCAGGCTTACTAAGGGATCGGGGTTCATTATCCGGTGAGTTTGAGTTGGTTGAAGAAGCAACAAATTTGACAAGATTTCCATCCCTGAAGACCACGCTCGCCTGCCCAAACTGACTCTCAATCCCGTGAGCCCCAATTTAAATTGTATTCACTTCATGCAGGTCCGCTGGGATGGTGAGGTCGATTACCTGCATGACAAGCTTCCCGGATGACACCTGAAATCGAGAGAGCTAAGTTTTTCTATCGTCAAGCGGGATGCATAATTCCTACGCATCATGTACATGTATAAACGCGAGTCTCACAATCTATCTATCGATAAATAGACGTATCGATCCATCCATCCGTCCATCCCTCCAATGGCAGCAGGCACCAGCAGCAGCAGCATCAGCAGGCACCAGCACCGTCAGAGCCACCACCACCACCACCACCACCGCAACTAGCGAAGCAATAGGGCGACGAGACAGGCTGAGAGGTCCATATATAGAGGTAGAGATAGAGATAGTTATAGATGGATGGGTGGATGGATAAATAGAGATAGAAACAGATAGACAGAAAGACAGAGGGTAAACAGAAAAATAGTTACATACACGGAATGATACTGATACCACCACACGTAGAGGGAACACAACAAATCGAGACACGAGGACTTGGAACACAAAAGGTTGAAGGGGAAAGAGAGAGAGAGAGAGAGAGAGAGAGCGAATGAGATACCTCTGGTCCTTGCATAGTCTCTGTGCGTGTGTGCATGATGCTTCGTCGAGCTTATTGCCCTTAGCCCTCAAGTTGGCTTCGATGCTACCTCTATACATTCATTTGCATGTGCTGCACATGCCTGGGGCTTAGTGTGTGTTTTGGTATGTTATGCGTATGTATTTACGTACGTATGTATGTATGTATGTATGTATGTATGTATGTATGTATGTATGTATGTGTATGTGTATATATATATATATATAGATATGTATGTATGCATGTATATATGTATGTATGTATGTATGTATGTATGTATGTATGTATGTATGTATGTATGTTGCATGCATGCATACACCGTTCACTCCTTTTTCTTTCTTGTCAGCAGCTGTGCTCTGAATGCCATGCCAGGTTAGTGCGCGTCATTGGTGTGGAAAACTACTGGAGCAGACGTGCTGAGACCTGGCTAGAGCAGATGAAGATCGTGCCTCTTGGCTGCCATGCTGCTGAGACCAGTAGTGGAAATAGTAGGAGCATAAGTAGCAGTCAGTAGTAGTAGTAGTAGTAGTAGTAGTAGTAGTAGTAGTAGTAGCAGTAGTAGTAGTAGTGGCAGCGGCAGTAGCAGTTGCAGTCCTCGTCGTCGTCGTCGTCGTAGTCGTCGTCGTAGTAGTAGTAGT